TTTCAGCCCAGATGAGTGGTTATTACCTTTAATTTCCTGGTCACTGTGGGCTTGTCAGTAATGTTTTGCCAGGCTGGTTGCTTTTAAATATATGCCAGAGCTGACACAAGAGGCAACAACATCTCACCAGTGTATTATTTACCCAGGAGTATATGCTATAAACTGTAATAGAAATATATCATTACATATACATTAAAATGCAATTTGTTTTGATGCTCCTGTAGTTCTCTTGCAAATAATACTTATCAGTTGGAGGAGGAAGGAGATCCATCTGAGCTAAAACACATTGCGGTGACTTCTGAGGAAGTCAGACTGTTTGTTCTCACCAGGAAACGCTGACCCACAGGCTGGACAGTCATCTGCAAAGTTCATTTTTGTCTGCTGGCTTTGATTCTCTTCATTTTGCATGACACCTGAACGGTGCCTGGTATTGTGACTTACATATCTGGAACTGGTGTTAGAAATGCTGTGTGGGGACCGAGAGCAGAGACCTTGTGCTCTGCCGCTGATTTGCTTCAGAGGACCATGCTGCTGCTAGGACTAGATCAAGTTTAGCCAAGCCCCAAGACACCTTTGTGCAGAGCCTTTCTTCATTCTTGGTCCTCGTGTAAAGTCTCCTTGTAACAGCCAACATAGACACTGGGAGAAAGAAACACAGTTTTTAAGGAGGACTCAGGGCATGTGTAGAGTTTCTGTAAGGCATGAGGTTGAGTTGGGGGGAGGGAGGGGTATGTTCCAGTGGTCAGAAGGAGGCTGTTGTGTTTACAGACACAAAGTCCTTTTATATTATTATGCAGCCCATGGGCACATAATCACCAATCACCCGCTACTACAAAGTAGCTGGTGGTAAAATAAAACAGCACAGCATGAGCTGGGAGTGAGATACCTGTCACACAGCATTGTTGTGCCCGTGTGTAGTCCAGGAGTTTTACTTAAGATTTAGCCTTCCACGGTAGAGGTGATGTTGCTGCGTTACTAATGGGCACAAAGAAGCAGGAATTAGTGCAGAAGTATCTGGAGGTTGTCTTCAGGTGCCTTTGGGCAGCCGCTTTTCCCTGCTGGCTGGCAGCTGGGGCTGTGTTGTCCCTTGGAAGAGAAGAGCTGCTGCTGTTGAGCTGACAATATCGGCAGTGGTAAGTGGTACTCGGAGGATTGGAGTGGGAGCATAAAGAAGTCGGATTTGGCTGCTTAGTGGTCTAAGTAAATGGGATGAGAGTTGTCAGTGTCTAGTTCAGAAAACTGTGCACCACCGTTAGAGTAAACGGCCTTCTAATCATCAGGAGGTGTGCTACAGTGTGATTACCCAGCAGGTCACGTCTGGAAACTCAATGGCCAAATGTTTAAAGGCATTAGAGGCTCATGATACAGAGGGGCACCAAATGGCATTTTCAGAAGTGACTCTTGTTACTTAGATTGCAGTAAAATCCATGGGAATCAGACAGTGAAGTATTTCTTACTGCCTCCCTGAGAAAACTCTGCAAGGTGCCTGTTTTCATTAATAGGTGCCCACCTGCCTCTTAAAAACCTGGCTGTCAGAGACGTCCCCTTCCAGGTAAGGCTTAACAACGGTGAGTAGCAGAGGTGGAAGAAGGCTTAAGATGCGAATGCTGCAGTGTGTGGGCCCTCCCTGTGTAATGCCTGTGTCTGGCTGTATTTGTGTGCCTGGTGGCACAGGAAGGTGGATCACGCAGGGATGTGCCGTCAGAAAGGAAGGATGTGGCACACAGACCTCCCAAAAGGTATCAAAGCAGAGAACAAAAAATTCAGTGTCGTCTCAGATTCCCATTCCCCTGAGCAGGTGAAGAGGAAAGGAAGACATGTTTAATACCTTGTTCCTTAGATCACAATAGCAAAACTACAACCTGGCTCCAGGGCTAAATAAAGAAAGAAAACAAACTAAGCCCTGCTACCAGCTGTGGGTGGAGAAAGGCATGCTGTGTTATCCAGGAGGATTATTAGTGTTACCAGTAACTGGGGAGACCCACATAAAATTGTAGGAATGGAAAGTGGAAAGGTAAACTTCCAACAAAAGTAATTCAAAAGTATGAAGAAATAGATTATTCTTTCACAATACTCAGTCTCTTGCTTATTGCAAATCTTACTGCAAATCTTATCTTGAAGAATAATTTAGCAATACTGTATCTTATAATATGAACTAATTAGTGATACATAAGAGAGAGAGAACAGGACCTTGAAAGAGGAGGCTTAGAAAGCCTTCGCCAACTGTGTCAGGGACTGTAGTTTAAATGCAAAGCTAGTGAACATTCAGATGCATAGCAGCAATCAGGCAGCCACCAAGAGAATTCATCAACAAGCATAGAGGCAGATGAAGCTGCACAGCAGAATACTTGTGTGAAAGTAAATGCCAAGATGTGAACAGAGGAGCTGAATTCAATGCAGTGGAAGGCCAGTGAGTCCTGTGGAGTAAAACCTGATGATGAAAAGTGGGGTCATAGGCAGACAGGCAGGTACACCATCATGTCAAAGCCTGCAGGGGAGAACAGCTAAAGAAAAACTGGAGCACAATCAGGAAGCAGACACTGATTTAGAGTTTGGATGCATATGCTACTGGACTGTGCAAAGTGGTAAAAATGAATGGTTTGTAGGCCCCAGCCTGGCACCAGATGCAGCAATATTCCAGTAACAGACCATAGGCAAGAAACTGAATGTCAGGTGGATAGAGAACATACAGGACTATGGACATTTCTTTGGGATTATTCAAGGGAAGAAAGCAACATTGTCATCTAGCAACACTGAATGACAATTACATGATGTCTTAATCCCTAGGATTGTATGTTAGCACAAACATAGTAATGCATAGAAAGTACTTGGGTTCATGCTTCCAGTAACATAGAAGACACAGAAGCACCACTGCCAGTGCAAACAGGCAAATAGATGATGCTTAGCCAGCTATGCTGGTCTCCAGACTTGAGCTCAGCTCTCCGCAGAGTCAGGCTGGCTTAGCCCAGGGTGTGGGCAGTGGGCGCTCCTGGCTGGGATAGCAGCACCTCTGCAAACTCTGCCTTCACTGAGGTGTGCGGAGAGAGGATCCTAGGAGTTAAGGAAGAGATAGCATGTGTCTTACACTGCTGTGATCTTCTCTGCCTTTACGGTTGCACCCAGAGGCTATTCACTCAGCCCTGTTTTTTCATAAGGTAAAAACAAAGTGGTTTGTCCTACCAGGAAAGGGTGGGGACCATCTGTTTTCTGATTTCTTGGGGGCAGTTTCTCTAGCTCAAAGCAGGCGTACACTGGTGGTACGACACGAAGGAGTTTGAACCAGCTGATTTCTCACTTACTCTTGGGTGAGGCAGTTGCTGCGTGTCTCTGCCCAGTATCTTCTGCAATCCCTAACCCCCTTGACCAACTCAAAATAACAAATGAGGGATCATTCTCCACCTATCCCCACATTTTCAGGTGGATTATTTTTTTTTCTGTAAATTGATATTATCTTACTGACATGACAGGCAGGAGTAATAAAGCCTTAGTCACAGAACTGGAAAGAATGCTTACTTTTACACACAGGCCTAAGAGCTGCCTGGAACCTTCCTTATTTGAGCAAGCAGCCAGAAAGTGAGGGGAAATAAGGAAAAATAGGAGATGTATTTGCCACTGCAACTTCAGGATTAAGCGTAGATGTCAGTGAGAGGGGAGACAGCTTGCTGCTTGTTGCCAAAAGCTATGGAATCACAGGGCAGTGTCTTCATATTTTGCTACATGATTTCCCAATGATATTGTGTTAATATACAGCAAAGCAACACAGATTAGCAATGCAATATCAAGACATGACACTGTAATACTTATGTGGGCTTCTTTGGAATGAGGTGACCTTGAAATCCATTAATTAAGTAGCAATCTGTGTCTTGGTTTAATTCAGTGTCATTTGTAAGTGCAAAAAATATCCCTATGTTCCTGTTCCCAAAATAAATCAATATTTACTGTTTGTTAGATAGCATTTGGAAACAGAAAAGCTGCACTCGAGGTCTGTGAACTGCTCAGAATCTTCGTTGTATGTAACAGGCTCTGTCTGAACCTGCAATTTCTGCATAAAATTTGGATCTTACTTTGTAGAGCCATTCTGCATATGGATGTGCGTGCAGCATTTGGTTAGACTTACTAAAAAGTCTTTTGCTCAAGTAAACCATTACAAGTCCCATCAGCCCAGCTCTGCCCTGTCTTTGCAGCAAAGATCTGTTGCTACAGGCCTTGGCATTACTTCAGGAGAAGTTTCCAGTCAGGATTCATTTTTGACATAGATGAATAGGGACTTTGGTGAGACAGCTCAAAAGAGTTTGCCCTTCATACTTTTGCTGAGCATTAAGCTTTGAAAAATGAATGATTACATTTAGGATTGCCTTTCAACATTAATAGCTGGAAAAGATTTGCCAAGTTCTCTATATGAGAGTGGGGATTTATTTGCTGTGCTAAGAGAGGAGTGGACTCCTAGTTACTCCATTCAGAGTTACTCCTGGTTTGGGTTGTGTTGTCACCCTTTTCTTAAGGGGGAGAATATTTCTGATGATAAAAACCAGTATACAGACATGAGACTGCATTTTGGAAATTGAATAGTATCTTCTTCTCCATAGATCCATTACCATTAACCAAAAGAGTACAAATTTTAAAACAAGCTTTTAAGGTGAAAAGGTTACTTTTACCAAAGATGGTACTATTGCAGACATGTACATGTTGAGATGATTCTACAAAGCAGTCAAGTAGTCTGGCTTCTAAAACTTTTAAGATCTGCATGTAAGGTACAACTAAATTTCTCTGACAGGTACATGGAAATTCTGTTAATAACCTAATATCCCTTGTGTCAGAAATGTATTTTTGGAATGTGTAAGTCTAAAAGATGTCTTTTTTTAATGCAGTATCAGGAAGTTACGAAGTCTGGGAATTGATAAAAGATAGGACTTTTTTCCTATATACCTTTACCCCATAGTATTTTAGGAAATGATGGGCTTCATCTTAATTCTTTTATGTTATTTTTTGTGTATTTTCAGGATTCCTCTTCGATAGGAACAGCCACGGTGACTGGTCCCAGGACAAGTGCAGTAATTGGAGATCAGGGAACACCACCGAAGGTCCAGCTTCCCCTCAATATGTAAGCAGCTCATCTCAGTCACTGTGTACTCTTTGTTTCCAGTCAGGGGCATGTGTGTGCATGTGTTTGAAATCTGAAAACCTGAATCTCAGCTCAGGAGCATTCTGAGAAGAGAGAGATCGCAATTTCATACATGACCCAGCCTCTGCTGAAACTGAAAAATGAGTAGAGGAAGGCAAGACTTCCCCTTTTGTCTGAGAGCCCTCTTAGACTCCTGGTATATTTATTACAGCTGTATGAATCACTATGAAGCAAATGGAATGCCTCTCAGCTACAGAAAATCTTCTTCCTTCATTTAAAGCTCTTAAAAAGGTGTAGTCCCATGCAATCAAACACCCGATGCATTCATCATTAACCAAAAAAAAAATGACCCAATTGCATTTTTTTCAGTGCCATAAACAAGGCAATGTATGAACTTCTAAAGTGCGAAAGTATCATGGTCATGTGAGTTTACTGAATAGTGTGTGGAATAACAGAAGGTTGACTAGATACAGAACAAAAACACTAGAGTTCATTATAATAAATCTCTTCTAGCCTGGTTGGTTTATCTGGTACCTGTCTAGCTGAACCCTTTCCTCTCTTCACATATACCTTGTGAAAGCAGTAGAACTATATAGACACACAAACATATACACACCAGTATTTTAGGGCTTTATGATGTGGCTAAAACAAGGTCTGAATTCACAAATAAAATCCTAAAGTAACATAGCAATTCTGCTTTAAGGAGAATAGGGGAGTTGGAACAGAGCCAAAACAAATTTGTTCTTGGCTACTAAGGTGAGATCTTCATACCTGAGGGGTACCACACATCACTGACTGCTCTACAGAGAGATCTCATCGTCATCCTATGGTCACCCTGTGCAGCCTGTGTGGCACATAGTGGGCCACAAATTTATTTCAAATGTTGCCCAGACTAGGAAGTAGTAACTGGCAGCATTTATAGTGTTTAGTTGCTGAATCAGGACATTTTCCAGCTCTCTGGCAATGCCCCTGTGTCCCCCTTGCCTCAGCAAGCCTCCTCTTCTCCCGCCTGTACTGCTTCTGTCGCCTCCCCCATGAAGCAGCCTTGTAATCCAGTCTGTCTTTTTGCATTTGTGAGCCAAGTTCCAGTCAAAGAGGAAGCGTTATCTGAAAGCTGTAGCAGAACTGAGGAGGTACCGCCCTAGACAGAGCCCTGGGGCTTCTGCATTATAAGTAGAGTCACAGGCAGCTCCCCGAGGCCAAGAACATGAGCCACCTTTTCACTTAGGCCTTTTTTTAGTGAACTTTTTATAAACATTTTGGCTTCTTCTGCCAAAGTCCTGCTCCCTAATCCTTAGCCTCACTGTTTCACATCGCCCAGAATAACTTGCTATTACATTTAGTGAGATTTCAGATTGTTGTTTTAACACTTTCTTCTCAGTTGTAGCGAGTTTGCTGGTGAAGTTTCACACCTAACATCTAGAGAACGGTGAAACATGTCCAAGTCCAAAGGCTTTGGCTTAAGGCAAAATCAGCCTCGGCAAATGGGACCACAAGCCCTGATCCTCTGCCAGAGGAAAGCCCCAGAAACGTTTTCTGAGGAGGGAAGCTGCCTGCAATCAAATTGTTTTTAGCCATATATGACAGCAAGCATCCCATCAGCTCTCCCACAGCCCTCTCTCTGCCAGCACGTGGGGCGTACGCCTCTCCCCATGGGGCATGTCAACCACAGCCAGGCAGCAGACCCAGCCTGGGCCTCCTGTTTAGAGAAGCCCCTACCTCTTTGCAGATTAATAGAGAAAACCCCCAGGGATGGTCATCCTCACTGCCCCACGAAGGTGGTGGCATTGCCAGTCCACGAAGAATGCGCTGATCACCTCTGTTGTCCCAGGGTCATGCTATGTGGTTATCACATACAAGTCTTCATCAGTTTAGCAATACCAAGATTGGTCAGTTTTGGCACGGAGGCCAGGCTGGGCTGTTGTACACCTTCTTTTAATCTCTGCAAGGATTTTGGTACTCTCTCCAGACGATGTTTAGGCTTATTGTGATATTGGTTATTCCAGCTTACTGGAGGCCAAATTGGGGGAATTTGCAGGGACGAACAGAAAGAAACTAGTAGGAGAGCTGGAGACAGCTGTGAGGGAAATCAGCCTATGATCCACCTAGGGTAATTTTTCTTGCACCTTCTTCCAGCATCTCAACCTGTAAATTACATTACTACATGTAGCCCCTTGGGGAAAGGGCTAAGTAAGTCTATCTAAAATGCTCTGTTCTTGACCCCCAGCTTTACCCATACCCTCTCAATCTTATCACCAGGTAAGCAGCAACTTAAAAAGAGATAGGCAAAGCCACACTTTCTGCTCCCTCGAGTGAGTGCAGTCTTGGCACTTTCCATTATGTCCTAGCAGAGCACTGTGCTGAAGGATTAGCACTGAAGCATGCAACCTTATTTCATGTCAGGGTGATGCATTTTCATGTTCTTCAGTTCATATGTAGCCTCGTGTTTTCCATACAGACTTCCTCAGGACCACCTGATTATACAGGTTAAACAAAGGATGTGCAGGATGGTTTCTCCCATCTGTTGACTAATGAAATACAGTTTCTGATTAGGTTTTTGTACCCCATGCACGTGGTAAACAGAGCCAGGCACATCAGCCTAAGGATGCCCCAAGGAGCTGTTACCAAATATTTCATATTCTGCTCATTACTGCTGTTTATTTACTGCCTTCAGAATAAAACTAAGGAAATCTACCAGTACCATAAAGGAGTAGAATCAGGAAAACTAACAGGATTTATTCCTCAATTATATTTCCTGGAGAGCAGAAGTAAAAAGCAATGTATCATTTTTATTGGCTGCAAGTCTACAATCACAATGGTTATAGTTTTCATTATTTCTCTGGTTCGCTGCTCAAAGGTGGGCAGCAAGCTGCTTCTCACCTAAGAGCATTCTGCTGCACTTTGTAGTGTAAATGCACTTTCTGTAAGTGTTTCTCCATTTACCCTAATATCTCCTCACTGTCTGTAAAGCACAAAGAAAAAAAACCTCAAGAAGGCACAACCTTAATCAAGAATTACCAGAAATCCTTCTGCATTTGTAAAAAGGCAACAGTACCAGAATAAAATTGGTATTCACAATGAAAGTGTTGTTCTGTGTGTGCATTCTTGCTATCCTATCCTGATTTTCCATTATTCCCCAAAGTGCAAGCAATCATTCTTAATTTTCAACAAGGATCTCTCTAAACAGGGAGAATACCTTTAGGGACTTTAAGTTGTAGCCATATCACAACACTAGACACATCCCTGAAGTAGTAACAGAAGAACAAAAGAGAGATAAAAAGAAAGATTCTAAACAAAGGGAATAAATAAAAGCTGTAATGAAATAAATAAAAAGTTTTACATATTGGATCCTGGATTAAATATTTATTACAATACTTGCATACAAAACATCCAAAGCCAAAATCTACCACTTTGCTTGCTTAAGCAAAAATCCCCTTGCAGAGTTTGGCCCTCTGTCACTTTTTGTTTTACCCACATAATACAAGAATTACCATACTGGACCAGAACAATTCAGTGTGTTATTTCTTAAACTGGCCAGCATAAATAGCATCAAGAAGGATTCAAGAAAAACTGCGTTAAACTTTTATAGAGTAGCCTATCCATAAGAAAAGTTTCTTCTGAAAATCCATTGCAGGCTCTGACTCTGAAGTATATGAATATATACGTCATCCAGATGTTGGGCTTTGGAAAGGCTTCCCATTCAAGTCCTGGTTACTCTGTCTCTGTAATTGCCTTTCTTGTCCTTCTGAAACTGCTGCTAAATTCTTAACTTCCGTGCTTCTTTGTGGCAGTGTTTTGCTTTGGTTGTGCCCTGGGTGAGAAGTATGTCCCATTAATTTCTAAATTCCCCCCGACTTTAATCTAATTAGTTATTCCTGTATTGTCTTAGCATCCGCTTGATCTTGTCTCTGCCACTCCTTGTTTGGTGTGCTGTGATGATGCCTTGTTTTAACCACTGTTTCTGAGCAGTGTTTCTGCTCTCTTTCTGCTCTGTGGGGCTGGAGTCAAAGTGGGACAGGTGGTAGTTGATGTCAGCTGTATACTTTCTTCTTGTGTGACCTCTCCCTGCAGCTACCTAGCCCTGTATGCCTACAAGCCTCAGAAGAACGATGAGCTGGAGCTCCGCAAAGGTGAGATGTACCGGGTCATTGAGAAGTGCCAGGACGGCTGGTTCAAGGGGACGTCCCTGAGGAGTGGGATGTCTGGCGTCTTCCCAGGCAACTACGTGACACCTGTTTCAAGGTGAGGACCACTGGCCAAGGTGGATATGCCTGAGCTGGAGCTGAGAGGAATTCTGCCTCTGAAGGGTGCTGAAAACAACATAGCCCTGATTTTAAATCACATTCTACTTCCAGAAATTTTCTGATGGCATTGCAGACTTGGGTAATGAAACTTGTAGCATTAGAGTTATCCATGTTCTCAGAAGACTTCACTAGCTGTGTTAGATGGTGGCATTTACAGCCTCTGACTTTACAAATTCTGATGAACCCAGGTTTTACTATCATAAAGAATCTGTTGGCGAATGATTTTTTTATTGTTAGAAAACTACTGGACATGTAACAGGGATAAACAAAATAAGGAATGCTTTTGTCTTGCTTTTCAGTAGCTCCTTGTGTGGATTTTGTTTTTCTTAAATCAAAGGTCTTGGATTGTTTGGATCAGGACTAGTGTTTTAACTGTTAAAATTCAGAAGTGGTAGGGAAGTTCAGTAAATTGTCTGGTTTTAGCTACCTCTGTCTTAGTCACGTAAGAGGAGAAAAGGAAAGAAGAACATGCTTGGGGAGGAATGCTATTTGTCAGAGTTCGGTATTGGACAACACCAAATCAAAGGGTGTTTCTGATCTAGAGCCCGCTCTGAAACAGTCTGCAAGCTGAGGAGAAAATTCATCAGTGTGTCCCAGACTGTTTTGCCCTACGTGCTCCTTGCAGGTGAATGTTGCCATGTGTATGCTCATATCTCCTTTGAGCAACTGTAGGTTTGCAAATCAAACTCGCTCCTCACATGCTCTCAGTCTCTCCTCCCACATGCACAGTCTCCACCATCTTTCACTCCTCTTCAGAGAAAGGCACCTCACAACTCAGAAAGTGTTGATCTGGAAAAATTGATCCAGGTTTGTTCCATCTTCAGTTCACGTCAAGTTTGTAATATGTGGACTGAGCAAGACCAAAAGTTAAGAGCAGATTAGAAGACGATAACTAATCCTGCTGACAGTCCTAATATTGCATTTCAGTCAAAAACCCACAACATTAATTTATGGGGTCTTTACTGTTCATCAATCTAAATGTATTTACCTGATTTTATAGAGCCCCTTGGCTGCCTTCACTCCTTACCTCTTCAACTCTTAATTAGTAAAGAAGTTTGTGCTGAAGTGTTGGTGATCTGAATCAGCAAGACTTTATTAAAGGCAGCATGTCACAGCTAGAATAAGACACAGAGAAGTGCTAAAGGGCAAAAGTGCTTTCCACAAAACCCGAAAGCAGCTTTATGATTATATTTATGGTCCTGTGAGCTAATTAAGTTCCTGTGTAAATCACCCTCAGTGAGAACAGCAAGAAAAATCTGATAGCAACAAAATCTCCTATTTGCTGCACTTTCAACTTACTTTGTTCCCCTATGACAGCAAAGCAGGGGATTAGATTCATACATGTTTTTCTGCCGCTTCCTACAAAACCCAAGAAAAAGAAGTTGCCCGTTAATTTAATAACACTGAACTAGATTTATAAGCTGCCAAAGCACATGTGTGAGCAGAGAATGGTGGAAAAAGGACAAGACCCTTTAGATGGACAGACAGGCACAGGGCAGCAGAGAAAATTTGCCACATCCAACTTCTACCCAGTTCTGTGGGAGTCACAGATAGTTTCTGTACCTGTCGGTGTGCATGTTTGCCTGAACACAGCTTTCAGTGGACTATTAGGTGTGCTTTTCTGGCAAACACAGTCTAGTACAGATGGCCAAGCCAGCTCCAGCTGAACCTTGCTGCTACCTTGCCAGCTCTTCACAGCAGATGACAGACAGTCAAGATTTCCATCTGGTGGGATTCCCAGCTTTTTTCCTACCTGGAGTCTGATGAGAAAAAAAAAAATAAGAAAAAAAAATCAGATTAATTTAGCAAAATGTAATCCAGGCAAACTTTGAACAATGAGATGAGTCAAGTCAATGACACCACAGTGTTGGTTTTCCTCCTGTGCTTTTGCAGGGATGGGGAGTTAGGCTATCTTTTGCACTTTTAGACCATATCTTCCAGCCTGTGTTTTAATGTCTTTGTATCAGAATTTCACTCTTTTGGCTCTTCCCCTTTTCATTCTTTTCTTAGGGTTGTTTTTTCTGTCTTTCTTGTCCTCTGAATTGGGCCAAATTGTTCAGCAATTCTTCTGCTTTCTGCTCTGCTGGTGCTTTCTCTTCTGCTTCTTTCTGCTCTTCTCCTCTCTGTGTTCCCACACAACAATTTTGGGGCCCCAGAAGTTCTCCCAGTCCCACCCCACATAGGTTGGTCTTGTACCCTTTCTGTTATCCTCTCCTCCCTTGCTAACCCCCTGCACTGTCTCATTTTCATTCCACCCACCATACTTTGTTCTGCATCATATCCCCTCCTCTGTCCTTTCCTGGAGGAGGACGTTGGCACATGGAGCAGCCCATGAGAGGAGAACAGCACAAAATTATCACTCTGTTTCATGGCATCTACTACTGGGGAAGGAGATGACTCAGGAACCCAGATAAGAAACTCAGAGAAAGAGCTGCTGAGCAGCAGCTGAATTGGTCCACTGGTATCCTTCTGTCCTCCCCAGCATCCTCCTGCCCTGATCAGAGAGTTTCTAGGCCAGTGGTCAGAGGACCAAGACCTGCTCTAGGCTGAACTCATTGCATAGGAGAAAGAGCCTCCTTGCTCCTTCCCTCCGAGGTCTCTCTCCCCAGCCACTCAGATGAAAGACAAACTATGCATCACTTTAAGTGAGCAGTGAAAGAGGGGTTGAATATTGTTTGGATTTCCTTTTCAGTAAGGTCAGCTGCATTCCCTTCCCTTTTGCATTTCCTTAGCAAGTCTAAGCTAGGGCTGGTTACATCGGTAGGGTAAGTGTTCAGCCAAGCCAAGCCCTGCCAAGTCTGCTGTTTTTCAGTCCCCTTCAACAGCCACACACAGATTTGGTGTTACCATCTCTTTTTCTCCCTACGGGGCTGTATGCAGGTTTGGTCCTAAGAAAGATCTCCAAGTCTGTTTTAATTAGCGCTCCATTAGTGCCTGTAAAATAGCCTCTGGCACACAAAATGACATTTGGGAGATATCCATTTCCTCTGAATTTAGATTCACAATTTTACTAGAAACTATTCAGACAGAAATGTAGCTTAAGAGAAAAAGTGATGAGAAAAATTATCTTTTCCATTTTTACCCTGCATTTCTTCCCATAGGTTAAAGGGGTGAAAATGTCCTCCAGCATGCTTACGACTGTGTCCTATAACAATAAATATATATCTATATCTGAATTTACTTTAACACCTGAGAGGGTATCATGTTGAACCCCCTAAGTAACTGGGGGGGCTTATCAGCATTGTGGCTGAGTATTGGGGTCTCTGCAGCGTGCTTATGCTGTGCCTTCTCTCTGCGCAGGGTGCCAGTGGGAGCTGGTCAGCCCAGGAACAGCGGAGCCGGGGGAGCTCCAGCAACGAAAGGAGCCGCAGGAGCCACCCACCCCGTTGGGGTCGGTCACACCAATGCCGCCACGGCTGTCAGACCGGTTGTTCCTATCACTGCACCTCAGACGCACCCCCAGCTACAGGCGGCCTCTCCGCAGCTGAATAACTGCTTGAGGTATTCAGCTCAGCAGCCAGCCAGCCAGACCCGCAACGCCATGCAGATGGGTATGTGTGCACACCCGCCAGTGCCTTTGGCTCTGCGTCGGCAGGGTTGATGTCGTACCCCTCGAGCGCAAACCTCTCCAATCTGCCCATGCCCGCAGCTTGCTTTCTCGTTTTAGTCACAGCTCAGTCAATGTGGAATGGAGTATGTTTTATTTGCTTGTAATATTTATGGGCTTCTATTGATCTCTGGGAACCACGTTGTGTTTATCAGATTGTTCTGTTGCTACAGCTGAAATAGATTATAGTGTTTACAAATATTTATACAATTTATCTGAGTGAAAGCAAGCACCCTGCATACTGAGGAGATTAACAGTTCTGAGTCCGGTTGGCTTGCTGATGGAAAAATACTGCCCTTATCACAGGACAAGTAATACATGACTTAAAATTAAGAAGCATTTCATTGGGCTTCAGGGATGAAAGGTATTTATTAGGCAGAACGGGACCCGGTGTTAGTGATAAAGCAAAAGATCTGAAAACTACTGCCACCTTTTTGAAATGAGAATAAGAGCTTCTTACACCAGGGGGCCTCTGTTCTTTCTAGGTTCCCTTTCTGATGTACAGCACAATTTTCTAGAGTACAATTTATTCCCCTTACTCTGATGTTAAACATCTCTGGTGTTGAATAAAGTAAATCCCATGGTGGAACTTTATAGTAAAATCTAAAACATTTTGTTTCTGATATTTTATAGGGATGTGAACCATTGTGTTTACAAAGGCAGATCAGTAAGGACTGTGACTGCTGAAAACTGAGGTCTTAGGTACAAAACAGAGCAGGCACGAATGAGAAATACACTGCTGTGTAAGTCATGGATTCATACCTTTTGAAGCCAGAAGGCACCATTATGACTGTCTAATCTCACCTCCTACACAGTCCAGACCAAAGGGAAGAAAACGTAATCAAATACATGTGAATCTGAATCTTGAACAGTGCAGACTGCTCAGCAAACTGTGGCAGGACTTTATGCAGCATCCGTGTCACACTGGAGAATAATCCATTTATCTTCTTTTTGTCTAGTTCAGAACGTGCTGCTTTCCCCTCAAGTCACACCCTTTCAAAAGCCCTTCTGCTCCCACAGTGCAAAGGCAGAAATATCCCCTCTTGGGCAAGGCTCTCAGCAAGCGTTCGGGTGCTCCTGGTGCCTCCTGTGCCCATGCCAACAGACAGATGGACTACCCTGAACTGAGGTGACAGATCATTTTGCCCCACGCACCTGGCATGCCCCATACCTTCCTTCCACGGTGCTGTTGTGCTACAACCTCCAGCAGCTTCCCTGATTTCAGATTGCTCCTCCAGGTCAGTCTGACCTCTTAAAGTGCCAAGGAGTTGGCAGGCAGGGTGATCCAGCGACCACAGAGCTGCTCTAAAACCTCCTAAGCAGGGAGTTCTCTAGCCCTTCCAGAAGGTTCTTGAGATTGTTGTTTTAATTAAATAAATCTTTGCCAGGATAAATAAAGGAAAAATTTCATTCTTATCAGTATTTTTCTCCATAATGGATGTCCTCACCAGTATCCTGTGGGCCAGAGCCCCTCAAAAGGTCCCTTTAGTCCTGCAGGACAGGGCAACGCACACTGACTTTTGGAAAAGCTTTCCAAGAGAGGCAAGCTGGCACAGTATTCAAATCACGTTTCTGTTGGCTTGCAATATACATGAGTAACAAATCAATTTTGCACAAGGCCACTAATGTAGGAATACACCCAAAATGAAATATGAGTGGTGTAGAACAAAAATAGCCTTCAGTGAGCATTGCTAATTAATAGCATGTTTGATGCAGCATAGTCCAGATCCAGAGATCCCAGAGCAAAGGCGTACATTGTAACAGTAAGCAGATGAAATTACAGGATAAAATGTGAGAGCTCTGCTCAGAGTTGATTTTTCTCAGGCCATTTATTTTACTGTTTCTCATGTTTTCTGTTTCCTTTATGTCTAGAAACACTGAGTCCTATGTAAAAGAAGTAATGTACCTAGTGTGATTATCAAATCAGTGTTCTGCATCCGGGTACATGGATTGAAATTCCATTATTGTGCTTTTCCTCTGTATTTAGGAAAGCCACTGTTCCTTACATTCACTAGTTCAAAACCTTGACCCTGCAAGCTTAACCATCCCAGAAAATTAGATTTCTGGCAGCAGTGGTTACTTATTACACAGGTTCCAAATGAGAGAATCAGGAGGGAATCACTTCAAGATGACCAGTGGTGCCCTGTCTGGCTCTCTGCAAAGGAATTGCACTTTCCAACATATGTTCTTGGTAATCCAGGGAGGGGGAAATGGTAACCAATAGTAAGAATAGTCTTGAAGATGTCTATAATAACAACTTTTAGGCCCTTCCTCATGCTAAATGGTAAAATCACATCAAGTTCAGGACTGGCTAATGATATTCTGGTTGATTTGCTATGAGTAACATTAATAAAAATAGATGTTATAGAGCCAAGGAGTTACCATGAGGGAGAATCATGTAAACTTTGGAGGTGCTAATCTGATGATCACTGGCCTATCATGTTCAGTGTCACTTCGGATAATAGGGCATAAGGCTGGGGAATGGAATTCCCTCCTGGCAGGAGTGCTCAGCTGCTATAGTGAGTATGATTAATGGCACTCCTTATTGTTTCAATCCCCAGTAATGGGTGCTGCTGTTAACCGTAGAAACAGAAAATAGTGGTTTGAGAGTTCTAGCATTGGATTGAGTGAAGTCCAGCTGGTCCTGCGTAAAAATGTATCCTTCAGATGAATTTCTAAGAAAACCACAGATCAGATTGGGTCAGAAATTTTCAAGAAAAATGCTTCTGGGTCAAACAAAAGATGATTTGTTGGACTCAAAGCTTTTTGTCAGGAATGGACATAGTTCAAGCAGACTTCAGCCGTGAAGCTGTACTGGCTCCAGTTGCAAAGGGAATAGCCAGGTGCCCAGTTCTCCACAGAGAACAGCACAGTGACTGGATCCTATGTTTTCACACCCTAGGTGAATGACCTGACCAGAGTAGAGGCTATTGTGGGGTGGGTGAGTAGGTTATGCTCAGAACAATGTTCAAAGGTTCAAAATTTGCACTGAGGCAGAACTAAACCAGATTATGAAACCTTGAAATCATATGCGATATGGGCATTTTCCAGCCAGTCCTACTATTGAATCATTTAAGTGAGAGAATGTCTGAATGTGGACTCAGCTTCTGGTCTGTGCATACTTGAAGTGGAGCTGTATGTAGGTTACACCTAAGCAATCAACTAACCTGGAAGTCAAAGGCAATATCGCTGTGGAAATGGACCTGGAGCATTGTCCACACTCTTTGCAACATGAGGCATGCAACAGGCTCCCAAATCCCTGGAGAGCTGACCTCGGCAGTGTGTCACAGTCATCATTAAACAGACTAATTCCTGGTTCCTAGTGCTCGCAGGCATCAGCAGGGGCAGCAAGACTAAAAGGCATTGCATAGTCCCTTAGGGACTTTGCTAGCAGAGACGAGGCTGAACTCAGAAATCCTCCAGTGGATTTCTGCTTAATTTATCTTGTGCAGCACAGTGATGTGCTGTTGATCATTTTGTTAGGGCTGAAACAAGAGACCTTCCTTTTTAATTGCTGTCTGCAAGGTCAGCATGGATCATCTGGGCTTTAGGTCCCACATTGCGTTGCTCCAAAACCTATCAGGTTAGGAGAGGGTCCTGGTGGTTTGGAAAACAGCTCAGCTGGAGCAAGATAAGGCATTTTAAAAACACAGTAGGCTTTTTATTTATTTCCAGGCATGGGCAGAGATGGTCAGGCCATTCCCCAGTCACATCACTAGGAAGAACCAGCCATTTTGGTGGCTGCAGACAGGCCTTTTGCAGCCAGGAAGGGGATTTCTAGGATTTAGCAGAAAACACTTGCAGGCTGAGATATCCTGGGTTAAGGCTAAGAACTTAGCTCTCCATCAGGCCCTGGCACCTCGTGGCAGCAATGGCCACTGAAGGGCCAGGCCTGGCAGTGCATGGGGGGCTTAATCGTGCTCTACCCTTCCTCTGCAGCTCACCCCCCGGTGCCTGCCCCGGAGCGGCCCACCGCCACGGTCTCGCCCCTGC